CTTTTCACTGAGTCCAAGAGTTTACCCACGAATGCGTGTAGAAGCATACAGAAACTAATGAGAATATTCATATTATCACCACAATTTTTCCCACACTGATTTTAGACAGTTTTCATCTCGGCGTAATGACAGACTATCTCCGTGCGTTTGCTTTCCCTGCGAGAGGCCAACCGGTCGGCACTCGACCGATCGAGCTGACAGGGAAAGCTTCCAACATTTCAAGACTTGCATTTCGACGTATAAAATTTCGCACTTCATTTAAGAACGTCATTTACGATGTACTCATTTCGAGAGGGTAAGTCAACATTAGTGATATGAAAAATACATTTTCACATTTCACTTCGCGAAAAAACTCATATAAGTAGTGGAAACGCGTAAAAAACGTGAAATGCTGCCAATGTTCTACGTGTGATGGATTGGTCTGTCCAGTGCAATTTGCCAAGTGTTTTCAATTTTTTCACCACTTCACGTAAAACGGGTTTCACCGCTCCATTGTACAATTGAGCCGACTCTGTTTTTCTGTAGCTATGATGAGCATCGCTCCGCTGAAGATTCGGCGATTGTAACAACTAATTCTACCCGCAATCGGCTGAGTGATACTAAAGACGTGGATGTGAGTCGTGCGAATCGTCGTTGAGGACCGACCGGTCGTGTTAGATGCAAAAAGGAAAAGTGCAAATGGAATGCGATATTTTTTGGTGAGTACCAGTGTTGGAGGAATATATCTTTGCTTTCCTCACTTGAGCTCTGGGATTTGTAGTTTACATGCGAATTCGGGTTGAAGTGTACACAAACGAATAAGAATTTCCCAAAATTTTCATATTATCACCAACACATATAGTTGACCATGTGCATATATTGTCTCGTCGGCATTTGTTAGGAAGCAGTGTTGGAGGAATATATGGCCGCTTTCCTCAGTTGAGCTCACAAGCTCCCTTAATAATTATACGAGTTTACGTGCGAATTCGGGTAGAAGCTCAAAATTTCCTCCCAAGGTTTTTTTGTCCATATTATCATCAGCACATGTAGTTGACCACACTGATCTCAACTCGAGTGTAACAACTTCAGGTACGACAAGGAATGGGTGTCTGAAGTGTTCGACAAGGTTTATCTAAAACCCAGGCAAAAAATAAACCACTTTCGGAATCATTACCAACTCACTCGAAAGGATATGCTCGTAGTTCCTCACACGAGCTGTCAGTGCGCGGAAGTCCCGTCATCAGGCTAAGAATCTTAACCGTGCCAGAGAGAGATCAGCGACAAATAGGGATGATCCTGATATGATGAAAATTCTCAGCGGAGGTTGCATTCCTGACACCTATGTAAAGAAATGGTTACATATACAGTTCATAGCTAATCGCAGATTCTTCCGAATGAATATGCGATATTCGCAGAAAAATTCAGAAAGGCCGGCACCAGTGGAAACTGGTGGATTATGAAACCTACTAATACGGCTCAGGGAAAAGGAATATTCCTGTTCGATAAGATATCACAGATTAGCGAATGGAAAGGCCACAAGATAAGTAATATGCATGCGTGCAAACTTTATGGACCATCGTGGATTTTCAACTCGATGATACGCGTATAGAGAATAGTTGATAATATATGAACAGGAATATCACAGCTCAGCTCAATGAGTGGGAGTTCCACCCGTGATATGAAAAACACATGTCTCGATTTTGCGGAAAACGCTTGTGAATAACGGCTAGATTCTAGGCCGTAGATAACGTGAAATGGGGTGATTCGCGAAGTGTTTTCAATTCACTTTATATCGCGAATATCGCTCCGTCCGCGAGTTCATGTGAAACGAGCGAAACTGTATAGTATAGTATTGCACTTGTGATAGGTAGCATGTCGCATATGGCCCAAATTATGGGGGAT